AAAGGTGTTATGATCTGGATTTATGTCCCCACCAAATCCATATTTTGAAGCTCTAATCCCAAAACTTCCAAATGTGACTGGATTTGGAGATAGAGTCTTCAAAGAGGTGATTAAGGTAAACTGAGGCCATGGGAGGTGGAGGTGGAGGGTGGGAATCCAATCTGACCAGTGCCCTTGTGTCTTGTGAGAAGAGGACATAAGGATAGAGAGAGGGAGACCCCCAAGAGATGTGTGTGCATAGAGAAAAGACCATATAAAGAGATAGCAAGAGAAAGATCACCTAAAGCAAGCCAAAGAAAGTGGCTTCAGAGAAACCAACTCTGTCAGCACCTTGATCTTGGACTTCCAGACTCCACTTTTCTTTTGTTTAAGCTACGCATTTGTGGCTTTTTATTACGGCAGCCCTAGCATCCTGATACAGCAGGGAAAAGCAGTTGCCAGCTACCCCCTTATTCCTTATATCTGAGAATGGCTTCACATGGGTCCCATTAGAATCTGCCCAATACCTACACCTGGGAATTTCTGAAGAAGGAAAGATCTCTGATCTCTGAGAGGAAGAAGGACCTTCTTTTCCTGGATGCTCACAGTCTGTCAGGCAGTGACTACCACCATCAGGGCCAGTGTCTGACTTGCCCCCAATGGGAAGAGCTCATGAGCTGAGAACAAACTTCAGAAATTATTTCAAGTGCTCAGTGGCTCCTGGCAGAGGCCAATGAGGACAAGTGGACATGTCCAAAACGGCTCTTAAACCCTCTCTGAAAGACCAGACCTTCTCTCCCACAATAAACATGCCCCCTTCTCTTTAAATGTGGCTTTTCCTTTGGTCTAACTGGCACTGTACTTTGTTATTTAAAAAAAAACAAAAAACACTTCAGTAGGTGAAGCCTGGGGATCTCCTCTGTTTTTCTCCTCAGAGGGGGAAGGAAGAGAGGGAGGAACCGGTGCTTCCTGAGCACAGACATTTGACCACAAGAACAAGCACTTTCTAAGTATTAGCCGTGATTGTTAAGCATCTTAAAGAGGCTCTCATTATGGATTGTCTCAGTTTAGGTTATTACAAGGGTATTTCTTAGATCACATGATTTCACATATCTAGAGGAAATGATGAACAACATAGACTGATAAACAAAAACAGACCCTGAGAAAGAGAAGCAGCGAACAGACTCTCAAACCTCAGAGGGAAAGTAGGGGAGGATGGGGGTAAAGGGGAAGAGATCAACCAAAGGAATTGTGTGCATGCATATGGGCCTGGCCAGTGGCCATGGACAACAGGGGGGTGAGGGCGTATGTAGGGAGGGGTTTAGGATGGGGTTGGGGGGATGAGGAGAATTATGTGATACCATAATCAATAAAAATAAAAAAAGAGGCTCTCAGAGGAGATACAGAGAGCTGGGTGAGGTTACACAGCCTTTGTAGGTATATCCCGTGACTTCTGAAGATAGAAAAATTACATGCTTTCCCAGGCAGTTGACTCTTTAAGTGTTAACATGCCATATATATATATATATATATATATATATATATATATATATATATATATATATATATGAAATCCTCCAGCTTTGTCTTCCAATTTTTTGTGAACAAAATTTTGATCTACAGTCTTTTAAGTATGCATAGGATTCCCAAATCTAAAGACCCACTATTTTGCTTTAATAAAAGCTTGCCCTTTTCTAAAACACTTTAAAAAGCAATGTACACACGCACCTTCACTGAACACCTTGAGATTTTAAAACAGCAGGCTTCCCATGGTCCTGAGCAGTGTGCTACAAATTCACAAACCTGCATATGAATAAATATTTAAGAACACAGTATTAAAAAGAAGGTAGCTCATTAAAAAGCTTTTTTTCATTTTATGAGTTAGATCATGATACATGTGTCTAACCCAACTGATTGCAGTAACAAGGAGGGAGATCTGTGTAAAGAAAGCAGGCACAAATTCATGACGTTCTTCACTGTCCTAACTGCAGGTAGAAATCAGGCACGGGAGCGATCCCAGGATTTCAGGATGAGACTGGTCCATACTCACTAACTATAATGGTGTCATATGTAACATAGGATTTTTTCAGAACTATAGAAACTTAAACAATGAATTTATATGAAATTATGGTACATTGATTAGAATAAAACATTCAGTTCTACTGGGATGGAGCTTGCTTAATTGGCATGGGATTATCCAAGGAGTGGCAGAGACAGACATTTGGTAATTTCCAATTACCTCTGTGCCCCCAGCATGAATCTAAGAGCTGGTGACACACAGTAATCCACACACACCAAGTCTTTGATGTCATGGAGCTTATACATTCCTGAATCCTCTGACAGTTACCTAGCAGGTAGTAAAAAGATGAATTCTCTATTCCTCCCTATCTCTCCAGAATGCCAAAGGTCAATCTGATATCTGTGAACCACAAAGAACAAACAGCCATCATTCTGCTGCTGAGAAAATGATTCATATCAATCCTATTCCCCAGAATCTGAGAAGTATTTTTATCTTTGATCAATTGGCTTTTCTCTAACAAGAGCTTGTCTTGTAGCATTTACTTTTGAAATGTGCTAAAGCTATTTTTTTCCCAGGTTTTCTTTTAATTGTTGACGCTATTACATATGTCCCATTCCCCCCCCCCCTTTGCCTACCTCTACCCAGCCCCTAACCCCATCCCTCTAGCCATCACCAGGCTGTTGTCTGTGCTTATTGGTTATGCCTATATGTTCTTTGACTAATCCCTTCACCTTCTTTCATCCAGTTTTCCCTCTCCCCCTCTGACAGCTGTCAGTCTGATCCATGTATCCATGCCTCTATTTCTATTTTGTTCAGTTCATTTTGTTCTCTAGATAGTTTAATGTTGCATGACTGCAATTATTAAGCTAGTGCAAAGTTATTTTATCTGTATATGACTTTAACATTATTAAAGCTTACAAAATAATAAATAGCAGCCAAATGGTAAGTTTTGTGGGGGTTTTTTGTGTGTGTGGTTTTAAAATATATATTTTATTGATTTTTTTACAGAGAGAAAGAGAGAGGGATAGAGAGAGTTAGAAACATCAATGAGAGAGAAACATCAATCAGCAGCCCTTGACCAGAATTGAACCTGGGATCCTTGAGTCTGCAGGCCAATGCTCTATCCACTGAGCCAAATAGGTTAGGGCGAGTTTTGTGTTTTGCTAGTAGGCAATCCTCTACTCTGGAGCCAATGGTTTTCTTTTACTGCATAGTTAAGATAGTCGCTCCATCCTAAACAACAAGACATACCCGCTTTGTCTCACAGACTGCACCTGGCTTCAGCCATAAACCAAATGCTTCATCGTCAGTACCATCTTGGCAAAGCAGAAATCACAGATTCCAAGAAGTATTTTTTTTTCTCTCTGACTCAGCATTGAAGATTATTGTAAACTTCTGTCAGTTTAATTCTATTTCCCAAATTAAGGTGCAATTTAATGATAGCTATTCTTAGTAACCCATTTCATATACTGTGATTGTTTCACTAATGAAAAAGAACTCCTTTAGTTTTGAAATCTATATACACTATACATTGCTTGGTTAAATGCCCCCGTGTCGCCCAGCTGGGGTGACTCAATGGTTGAGCATCAGCCTACAAACCAGGAGGCCACATATTTGATTCCCTGTCAGGGCACATGCCACAGTTGCGGGTTCAATCCCCAGTAGGAAGTGTGCAGGAGGCAGCGGATCAATGATTCTCATCATTGATGGTTCTGTCTTTCTCTCCCTCTCCCTTCCTCTCTGAAAGCATTGAAAACAATATATTTTTTAAAATACTCCTTTCTTTATTAGGTATCTTTGTATCATTCAGATTATGCCTGTCCTGCAAAGTCAACTTTTGAGACCTGAAAACTGTATAATTTTAAGTAAATCTTACGATTCAAAGTGGAAATTTATGGAGTGCCTTAACCTTTGGCCTCTCTGAGAACTTTTATAATACTTAGCATGTAATTGATTATTAACTTGAACTTTTACTTAATTATACATATGTTTTCTCTCTATTGCCAGAACCTATGTATAAAGGTCCTTTGGCAGAGATATAAATGTCCACTGTCACAGCACATTCTCTATTCCCATTTGAATAGAATTGTATTTTTTCATAGCAAAGTCCACTATGCCAGAATATTAAAGTTCTTGGTTAATTTCAGTATCATTTATATTAATATTTGTTTTATAGAATGAATATAGAATTTTGAATCATATTTATAGAGAAAATAGCTGCTTCAATATTCATCTATGTGATTATCAGTAAATATGACCATTATATTTATCTTTTTATTTAATGGACTTATTCCCAAATAAAAAATATATTATTGGCCAAAACTGGTTTGGCTCAGTGGTAGAGCATTGGTCTGTGGACTGAAGGGTCCCAGGTTCAATTCTGGTCAAGGGCATGTATCTGGGTTGCGGGCACATCCCCAGTAGGGGGTGTGCAAGAGGCAGCTGGTCGATGTTTCTCTCTTATCGATGTTTCTAGCTCTCTATCTCTCTCCCTTCCTCTCTGTGAAAAATCAATAAAATATATTTTAAATATATATATATATATATATATATATATATATATATATATATAATTATTGTCACTAATGCTATTTTTTGCAAACATTATTTGTAACTCTATTTTGTATTTTTTCAAAAGACCTACTTTCTAAGTATTGGTGACCAAAAAAATTATTAACTTTGAAAACCCTAGTTAAATTATCATTAAACCACTTTTGAGTGATCCAAAACTCCTTATTCAGGGTTTTAAAATGCTTCACTTATACATTCACTCACTCATTCTTTCATTTAATAAGCATATTGTGCACCCACCCACATATGTTAGGCACTGGGCTAAATGCTGGGCCTAACAAAGATGAATGACATATGGCCTATGTTCTCAAAAATTTACTTTATTGATTTGGAAGTGGGAGAGGAAAGAACACAGGAATAATTTGTGAGAGAGATGGCAAAAACACAGATCAATTTTATACATTATAAATTGGAAAAAATGTATACAAACCACAAATCTTTGCTTAGAGAAAGGTGAGTTCTTTTTCCAAGAAAAGGATCTGAGGAAAGTGTTGTTTCTTTTCTTGCATGGAAAAACAGAGCAGCAAGGTTGAGATAAGTCCCAGGCAGTACAGACATGGAGGTAGCAGAAGCTTCCTGGAAGAAGCAAGGACACAAAAAAGTTTAGTAAGGATGCTTGAGAATGAGAGGAGGGTAAAAACGCCCTCTAGAAAACTACACTGCAAATAAGTAAGTAAGTAAATATATATATATATATATATATATATATATATATATATATATATATATATACATATGCCTAAGCAACCATTACGACCAGAATGACCAGTCGACCAGTCATGATGATGTGCACTGACCACCAGGAGGAGGATGCTCAATGCAGGAGTTGCCTCCTGGTGGTCAGTGTGCTCCCAGAGCCAACCTCCTATGGCCCCTCCCCATGGGCTCAATGGAGGAAGCCCAACCTCCTGTGACCCCCTCCCCTCCAGCCTGCCAGTCCCCTGTTAGGCCTCAATCACCGACCAGGCTGAGGGACCCCACCTATGCACGAATTCATGCAACAGGCCTTTAGTAAGTAAATAAATAAGTAACAAAGGCTGGTACTATGGGGAAGAAATGAGAACAAATATATTCATGGAAACTTGCAGATAATATCTATAGAAGAAAAACAGACAAAGACTTTTCTAATTTAAGCAAACACATGTTTGAAAGGGTCAGTTAACTAGGTCAAGATACTGGCCAATGTTGGGATTTACCCAAATGACTAAGAGGTTATAGGTGCCATTGGGATATAGATGTATGGAGAAACTACCCCATTAAAGAACAAATGAGCAGTCATCACAGGGATTCTCAGTGTAGGACACATCTGGATGAATCTGACAACAACACAAGTGCAGGGTGCAAGGCTTCCTGGGAGGTGAGGGTGGAAACATATAAACCACAGTGGTGCGTGCCCAACAAATGCATGGCAGTATCACTCTGATCTAGTGAGACTTGCTCCAACACACAAAGAACCTTCCAATAGAATTCCTTTTCACCACCTCCTTGGCCACTCAAACCACTCATGTCCATTAGGTCAAGCCATACAAAAGCAGAGACTATAGAATTCTTGGCTACAGCAAATTCTAACAAAGAAAGAGGCTCACATCACTAGTCCCTATTTATCACCAATTTTATATAACTTGAAGATTTACCTTGTTTCAAAGGTAATATTGAAATGAGAGATATTAAAATGACAGTTGAAAATAAAAGGATGCTTGCTCACTTGGAAGCAATGAGTAGTAAGTTAATAATGCATCACCAACACTGAAGTGAAAACAGGTCCTGTTGAGTGGAATATCCTGATCCACTGAACAAGTAGATCCCATTCGCTGAGAGATATTCAGGAGGTTGCCACAGTATTATTATTATTTTCAATGAATATCTACTATGTGTCAGAGTACTGTGAAGTGTCTCCAGTTAGTTAAGTGAAAAATAAGGCAGAATCCCTACATTTGGGGAGCTCACAGTCATTTAAAGAAGATAGATATGTAAGCAAATAGTTTCAATACTATAATTAAAGTGCTTTAATTCAAAGTATCATGGAAACCCAAAGGAGAGAATCTAATATGCCTAGAAAAGTTAGGGGAAACTTTGCAGAGGACAGTGACTATAGAAAATAATAACAATTCACTCATCCAGTGAGCCAGCCTTCCATTCATTCATTCATTCATTCATTCATCACATACGTGTCGAGTGAATCCAACTGTTCTGTATGCTGTGTATACATCGAACAAGACCAAAAAAAAGTCCGTACTTGAGTGAAGGTTACATTCTGTTGGGGTGTGAATGGTATTACCTTAAGACTATCCAGTGTCCACCTCCTGGCCTTATTTTCTCTCCTACATATTTTCCTACGGAGACAGCGTGCCCTGACCACACTGGAGCATTCTGATCTTTTTTGGTAAGTGTATCTCTCATCATGAAACCAGTTTCATGATAATGCCAGTTTATTACTTACCATCACAATAGAATAATTCCAGAAGGGCACCATCAGATGAAATCAAGTTTCCGAAACTGTAACACTGAATGTTACTCAAAGTGAGAAATGAGATGTCTAGACTGACATGAAAAATCCTTACCTTTCTTTGACAATGGAGATCTTTCCTGCCAATGGGGGGTCGGGGAGGAAGTTCTGTTTCCCAGGAGAAAGTTTGTGGAAGAGCAGCAGGAGTTTCTTTTGCATCCCAGGAAGAACTCCCAATGTCCAGGAGGTAGTAGAAGTGAATCAAGGGACATGCCTCATTTCACATTTTCCCAGGACCCTGAGCCTTCAGACCTGGGGCCCTTCAATGGTCCCTGCAGCTAGTGTCACAGGGTGATTCACCTCATAGAGAGCTGCAGAACCTCAGAGACAGTCACTTCCTGAAAGAACACAGCGTCTTCTCTCCAAGAAGGAAGCGGAAGAACCTGGGGGCCAGTGCCTCCCCTTTGTAGAGGGATACTTTGTACAGTATCCCTCTACAAAGAGAGGCATGCTCTCTGCACCCTTCTGGGGTTGGGACCCACCTGATGGCATTTAAAGGTGACAAGGAAAAAATGTCTCTAGACAAAGGGAAGAGGTTTCCCCATCCTAACATAAGGGGAACATTCAAGCCATTGCAACCAGTGGTTTGAAGCCAAACTGACCTTAAAAGATCTCAGACTACTCCTATGGAAATGACCACAGTTTCATAACAGAAGCAAGAGAAAGGAAGTTAGAAGCTTCTGCAAAGCACAGTTGGTATCATTCTGAAAATTCATAGTTCCTGTTGACCAACATGTCTGCTTTAAATCCCTAAAGCTACTAATTATAAATGTTACACACCAGGTTTTCCTCATATTTATAGCCTTTGTTTCTTTTTGAAGTTACATGTTTGTTGTCAAAATTTTAAATGCAGACATACATAACAAAGAACATGTAAAATTCTCTATAATTCCATCACCTGAAAATAACTACAGTTGGCACTTTGTTGAACATCTTTCCAGCCTTTTTTCTGTGATGAGGTGAAGCTTAGGACGAGCTCTCAACATCCATTCCACCCCACACTAGTGTGTAACATTCGTGCAACTTTATAGGGACTAGCCTTGTCCCCAGCTCTGATTAGTTCCTGATTTACTAAACAAAATTTCAATAATCATATGACCTTGATGTGTGGGGTCGGATTCTGGAGTCAAAATAAGACCACCGGAGGCTGCTAATTGATTAAAAAGCAGGCAAGGATTTATTGAACTGATCAGGATGGCCACGAGAGCACCACACGCAGGTGAAGGCCACACTCACAACCGTGCCATTTCAGGTATAGGCAGTCCTTTTAAAGCTCTAAACCACAAAAATTTTCCTATGTTCTAAATTCTAAATTCTAAAGGCAGGGAACAGCCCGCAGGGTCATTCCCAGCCACATCCTGCTGGACGTTGGAATGTGGACCTAACTTGTGATAGCAGAGAGTACAGAAGCAGACCCGAGCAAAGTTAATCTCTGAAGGTTATCTGCGGTTTCAACTCCTGGAGCTACTGGGTCAGTGGGAATCAATCTCCTGTGGTTCTGGTCCTCAGGCACAGGAAAATTGCCTTAGCTTCCAGGCTCAATCTGGAAGCTGAGGTAACCACCCTATTGTTTAAGCAAGTAAGTGAGTGCAGCAGCCAGAATAGCAGGGTTAAAATTCAAACAGCAGTTTTTACCTAAGTATGGTTGCTACCATACTTCACTTGGCACAATGTTTATTTTAAGGACCAGCACCTAACCCAGACCTAACCCAGGCAATACAAAGCATTTCCCTTGTTGCCCAGAAAAACACATAATCAAGATGATCCAATCAGAGGGAAGCCTAGGGAAGCCTAGGATTACTGCTAAAGGCTGGGGGAGAAATATTCCTCTGGGTTTGAACAAAACGGCTCTGGGAACTATTGGTGGCCATCTTGCCAAGACAAGAAAAATCACTTTCAGGTGAAAGCAGATGGTGCAGAAGGCAAAAAGAGATATAAAAAGAAATTCAGTTAAAGAACATTCTGAGCTGCTAAATTAAATTAACACCAATATCTGTCTTACTTTTGGAGCTTCTAGTTATGAACCAAAAAATTTGCTTTTTGAAGTCAGTATAAATTGAGTGCTTTAGTACTTGTAACTAAATGCATCCTAAATGACTCATGTAGTTATTTATTTAAAAATGTACATACTGTTTATAATTTCCTATTTAAAAATACATCACAACCACCCTTCCTTTTCAAGATAAATACACTTTCACCAAGTTGTTTCAGAGTAGTCTGTTGTAAGGACATTAAATTACTCATCCAACCTCCTATTGTGGGGCATTTACATTGTTTCTGGGTTTTTCCATATTATATAAACAATTCTCATTGAGTTTCCTAAATATAAGAGGACATAGTTATTTCCCTAAGATAGCTGTCTCATGTAAAATTACTGAGTCAGATTGTGTACTACTTAAAAGGTCTTTGACTCATGTTGCCAAAGGCCCTCCCAAAAAATTATTTCAAATATATTCCAACCAACAGAGCATGAAATGCCCAAAAAAGTCTCAACCCAGAACCCTCAATACAGATAAAGTTTCAATACAAATAAAGTCTCTGTCTATGTCTTATTGCTGTTTAATTCCCATTAAAAAACACCTTAAAGAGTGCTTTAGTATTTAATTTTTATGTATTTATTTGCTTATTATATTTTTCTTCTTCTGAATTTCCACTGACAATCTTTTCCCACTTTACATTGAAGCACTTGTTTATTTTTATATCTCAAAAGTAAAATATAGGCATAAGTAGATTTTAATTAAAGAGAAATTTTAAAAAAGGAGTTACTATATGACCTAGCAATTTCATTCTAAGATATATGCCCAAGAGAATGAAAGCATATCCACACAAAAACTTGTACACAAATATTCACAGCAGCAATATGCATAATATCTCAAAAAGTGGAAATCATCCCAATGTTTGGTGAATGGATAAACAAATCTTGGTATATTCATACCAAGATTCCCACTCAGCAAGAAAAAGGAATGGTTTCGCTATAGTAATACCCACTATCGTGCATAATATGGGTAAATCTCAAAAGTATTATTCCAAGTGAAAGAAACCAGACATGAAAGATGCCAAGTGAGTAATTTCAATTATATGATATTCTGGAAAGGCAAAACTGGAGAGACAGAAATCAGACCAGTGGTTGCCAAGAGTTAGGCGTAGGGAAGAGAAAGGCACAAAGAGGTGAAAGGGAACTTTTTGTTTTGATAGAATTGTTCTATGTCCTGGTTATGGTGATGACTGTACAACTATAAACATTTGTTAAAACTGAGAGAACTACATGCTTCAAATGGTAATTTTTTCAGTATGTAAATTATACTTCAATAAATCAATTTTTTTTAAAAAATCAAATGCATTATTACTGAAACTTATTTTTGCAATTTGGGGAGATTCCCACAAAAGAGGAAAAGCAGAGAACATTTACTTCCTCAAAACTTACATTCACCATTTTCTGAAACACAATTAAGTACCTATGCACATTCATACATCACCAACTTAGTAAGCATTTTTAGCAACAGACTACTTACTGTTTGAGAAAGAAATTAGCTTTGCTAGCGTTGTCTCTCCCTGTTCCTTCAACCTGGTCACAATTGTTTTAAGGCTGGTAAGCTGGCTGCTAGTGAAGAGGGTGTTTTAAGTGTTTCACTTCCTCTCAGAGGAGGTTAACAAGAGCAATCATGGGTAAAATCAGGAGAGATCAAATTAGATCCAGTCTGCTCCTGTGAGAAGTACGGCAGGAGGAATCTATGCTCTGCCCACACTCGCTCTGATCTCTCCATTTATTATAGTTGCATGCCTTTCCTCCCAGCTGCCAGCATCTGCTTCTCTTTGTTGGAGGATGGTCCTACAGCTGCCAAAACCCAACTGCCTGCTATACTTGGTAAACCAGATGATCCTGGGCTGTGACTCACAGGTACAGGCGTCTCAATAGCACTTTTGCACCTGTCAAAGACAACATCAATGTGTATTTTACACCAGTGCTTCTCACACTTCTATGATCATTGGCTGGGGATTGAGTTCAACTGCAGATTCTGTTGCCGGAGGTCTCAGAGTCTCCAGTTCTAATAAGCTCTTAGGTGAGGCCAATGCTGCCATCTACAGATCCCACCTTAAGCAGCAGAGGCCTTTTTCCAGGGTTCCTGGCAGAATCTAGCCAAAGACAAGAGGGTGTCTACACTTTGTGATCTACCAGAGAAAGGGTAAATACCCCAGGGCAAAATGTGGCTAAGAGAAAATGGAGAAGATGGAGTTCTGTGGGCAGAATGTAAGCATTCCAGAAGCAGCCCAGATTGAGGAATTCAGGTGGCATTCCCCTGATGGAGATATATTTGTAGGCTGAAAAGCATAAACAAACAAACAAAACAAAAAAATCCCTGCCCTACAACTACTGAGAGGCAGCAATCTGAAACCTGTCTTTGAGCTGTGGGGAAGGGGCAGTGGGTGAGGGAAGTTGGGGCCGTGAATACACAGCAAGGTTATGAAGGATGTTCTGTGCCTCACAGCAGAAGAGCTGAGATGGATTTTAGACCATTTCAAAAAGAGAGAAAGAATTCTGGTAGAACTAGTAATGGATGATTGTTAGCAGGAGGACTGGCGTGTATTTAGATTCTGTCAGGAGACTGTTTATCTTAGACCATGTCACAGAGCACATAAGAGTCATTCATCAATTCCTTCCATAAGACAGTTCCAGGAAGCAATCACCTGATAAAGTGTCAAGATTATCAAACCAGAAAATGCCCTCTCCTCTGTGCTTTTAGGACACTTCTTAAAACTACTGCTGGACCATGTATGAGACTCGTGTGTGTGTGTGTGTGTGTGTGTGTGTGTGTGTGTGTGTGTGTATGTGTGTGTAGTATATTTTTATTGATTTCAGAGAAGAAGAAAGAGGGAGAGGGAGATAGAAACATCAATGATGAGAGAGAATCATTGATTGGCTGCCTCCTGCATGCCCTCTACTGGGGATCAAGCCCACAACCCAGGCATGTGCCCTTGACCAGAATTGAACCCAGGACCCTTCAGTCCGCAGGCTGATGATCTATCCACTGAGTTAAGCAGGCTAGGGCATTGTATGACACTCTTAAAAACTACTGCTAGAATACTTATTTCTGCCCATCATTGTCATTCACCAAAGATTGACTGACGCCAATATGTGCCAGGCTACATTTTAGGTACTGGGGATCCAAAAGTAATTTACATATGAAAGTTTTCACAGTGTTTCAAGAATAAATGAGAAAGAGAAATAATAACTAGACAAACAAATATATAAGGAATATATCAAATAACTGCTATGTAGAGAACTAAAAGGGGGTGGAGTCGTAACAAGGGACTAGGTAGCTACTTAAAGAGTGTGGGAGAATGCCTTTGTCCTGCTATAGCAAATTATTAGTGGTTTGTATTTCTTTTAACAAATACAGAGTTTTGTTAACAAAACTTTGTGGTCTACTAGAGCAAGGGTAAATAGGCAGGTAAATACCACAGGGGCAAAATGTGGCTAAGAGAAAATGGAGAAGATGCAGTTCTAGGAATCCCATTTTAGCTTTTTCTGAATGACTTGTTCTGCCTGCCCATGGAACCCCATCTTCTCCATTTTCTCTCAGCCACATTACGCCCCTGGGGTACTTACCTGCCTATTTACCCTTGTTCTAGTAGACTACAAAGTTTTGTTAACAAAACTCTGTATTTGTTAAAAGAAATACAAGCCCCAGTTAACAAAATCTCAGACACTTTTCTTCCCTTGCAAATTACTAGTGGCTTGTATTTCTCACAGAAATACTACTCAGCCATAAGAAAGGATGAAATAGTGCCATTTTGCAACAACAGTGAAATAAGTCAGTCAGAAAAAGCTAAGAACCATAGGATTTCACTCTTATGTGGGATATAAAACTGAAAGTCATGAACGAAAACAGCAGTGTGTGGTTGCTAGAGGGAAAGGGATCGGGGAGAAGGGGGTCCTAATATAAGGTGACAGGAGAAGATTTGATTTTGGGTGGTGGGCACACAGTACAATATACAGATCTTGTAACACAGAAACTCACACCTGAAATCTATATGTTCATGTTGACCAATGTCACCCCAGTCAATTTAATAAATAAATATTTTTTAAAGGAAAAAAAAAAAGACTAAAGCTTCTCCTTCATGGATCATATTCTGGATGTGGCATGGCTCCTGAAGAAGCATGGAATGGCATTCCAGGAAAATACCTGTGGTGGGTTGCATTTTCCAAAGATGGCCACAATAATACCTTCCATCCCACCGGATCTCCTACACATGACTTTGTCACTCCTGCCCTTGAAAGGTGGACTACAGTCCTCGCTGGTATGGCTCTGTTGGTTTGCTGGTTTAATTCTCGACCAGGGCACATGCCTGGATTGCAGGTTGATCTCCTTTACTGGTATCTCACCCTCTCCCTCTTCCATCCTCTTTCTCTAAAAATCAATTTAAAATCTTAAAAGAAGAAAAAAAGAAATGTGGACTACATGCCCGCCTCAACCCCAATTCTGGTGGGCTTGTGACTTCTGCAATCAATACAGAACACCTTCACCGTGTTCTGGAACACTAGTGCTCAGGACTCCGAGCTGCCATGTGAGTAGTCCAATTAAGCTGAGGCTGCCAAACTGGAGAGGCCAGTGGAGGTGCCAGCTGAGAGCCCGACTGTCAGGCAATATCAGTAGTCGGCCATGTAACTGTGCCAGCTAGCATGTCCAGCCTGGCTGACATCTGACTGTCCCTATGAGAAGCATCAAACCAGAACTGTCCAGCTGAGCCCTTCCCAAGTTCCCAACCCACTAAATCACAAGCAAAATTAAATGATTATTTTAAGCTACTAAGTTTGGGGGGGATTTGCAACACAGCAATAGTAAAGGGAACAATATGTGAAATTAACAAAATCTCAGACACTTTTCTTCCCTTGCATAATTATTTCTCTTTTGTTATTTCACACTTTCCATATATGTGGATCACAGCCATGATGAGACCCCCTTCAAAGGGCTGAAAAGGGAATATTAGTTTGTGGTTGCTTCCCCAAATTTTTGAAACTGGACTTTCCAAGTGGGTATAAGAAAGGCAAATACCCTGTTTCCCCGAAAATAAGACAGTGTCTTATATTAATTTTTTTCTCCCAAAGTTGTGCTAGGTCTTATTTTCAGGGGATGTCTTATCTTTCCATGTGCTAGGTCTTATTTTCGGAGGATGTCTTATTTTCGGGGAAACACGATAGCTATGTCATATGGTTTGGAAATTTCTAAAGTTGCTTTCCTTCTCATCAAATCTCTTTTCTGTAAAAGTCTTTGTAATGCTATCATTAGAAAGGATGAGTTCTTTGGAATTATCTGTCTTTTTAGTCTTCTAAGAAAGCGACAGCAAAAAGAAAACCAAGAAAGCTAATGCAGCTTAACATAAAAAGGAACCTTCTGCCCGGCCAGTGTAGCTCAGTGGTTGAGCACTGACCTATGAGCCAGGAGGTCATGGTTCAAGCCCAGGTTGCTGATTTGGTCCCTAGTGTGAGGCATGCAGGAGGCAGTAGATTAATGATTCTCATCATTTATGTTCCTATCTTTCTCTCCCTCTCCCTTCCTTTCTGAAAATCAGTAAAAAAATATACTTAAAAAAAAGGAATCTTTTTTAAAAAATTAATTTCTTTATTGATTAAGGTTTCACATATTTGTCCTCAATCCCCTATTCCAACCCCCCCCTCCCCGCCTCATGCCCCCAACCCCCTATTGTCCTTGACCACTGGTTAGGCTCATATGTGTGCACGTAAGTCCTTTGGTTAATCATAAAACAGCTAGTGAGTTAGGAAGTGAGCAATAGGAAGTGGCTCTCCATCATAGCAGTGGTTCAAGAATTGGTCACATGCTTTGTATGCATATATGCATAACCGATAGACACGGACAATAGGGTGGTGAAGGCCAGGGGCAGGGGGTGGGGACAGGCTGGAGGGGGTAAATGGGGGGGAAGGAACATATGTAATACTTTCAACAGTAAAGACTTAAAAATAAATAAAAACTGCTCACATGTAGGGGAGGTGAACAGAATTTGGTTGGTTTAAATTTGTCAAACTCTGTATGAAAAGGAGTAACTAAGTAGTAAATATTTTTGGCCTTATGACCACATGATCTCTGTCACAACTGTTTAATTCGCCATTGTTGCTACCTTATAGCACAAAAACATTTATAAATAAGTGGATGTTATATTTCAACAAAAGTTGATTTCCCAAAAATGGGGGTCAAGCTGGATTTGGCCCACTGTGATGACCTCTGGTTAGATAATCTCCAGCATTTTTTTCCAACCCTCAGATTCTTTGACAAATTAACCTTCAAAATGCCTACATCCCAAAAGTGGTTCTTTATCAGTTTGAACTTGAGCCTGGAATTAGTTTTATATCTAGGTCCATTTGAATGGATAAGGGTGGTCCAGGGATGGGCATGGAGAGCTTAGAGGAGGGGCAAAAGCTGCTAAAAAGTCTGGACCTCCTTAACCTTCACCATGTAGCTGACCTGAAGTCAGAGTGGGTCCCTATATCCCTACTGGCCCACCCCCACCAGCAGATAGAGAGCAGGAATCCAGAGAGTTCTACTTGTTTCAACTTCCACATATTAAAATTAACAACATTAAAATGTGTTCATAGCAAGAGCAGAGGAAAGGCCAATTTTCTCATCTCCATAATGAGGCAAGTTGAAAGCTGATGCCTGCCAGTACCTAGAGTAAGGGCCTCCATTCAACAAGGAGCACCAGCTCTCTAAGAGGCACAGAGGTGGAATAAACAAGCTTTCAAAGGGCTAATAGCAAGGAAAAGCATTGAAAGAAGA